CAAAATGTGTTCAGCAACATCTCTTGAGTACAGGGATACCCCCCATGTATAGGTGTGTCAGGTTGTTTTGGGGCTAAAAGGCCACATTTGGCAGGTGCGAATATCAGTTTCCCAGCCTGGAATTTTGACATGTAGGCCACCTGCATACATGTCCTATTTGGGACATTTTTGAAGCCAGCCAATGTATTTTACCCCCATCAAACCATATATTTTTGAAAAGTAGACACCCTAGGGTATTTCACATGGTGGTATTTTAACACTTTCCATGCACTAATTCTGCCACCAGGCTTTGTCAAACATTGAGGTAGTAATTTTTTTTTTTGTTTCTTTGTCACACATTGTACTTTAGGCATGAATTAACAGATCCTGTTATGTGTCACTGCCAAACAACACCCCAATATGTTCAGCAACATCTCCTGAGTACAGTGACACCCCCTATATGTATATAGGGTTGCTGGGTTGTTTGGGGGCCAAAAGGCAACAATCAGAATTTGTACATGTCAGTTTTTCAACTTGATAAATAGGTATGCTTGGTCTATCTTCAGTTTGACGTATTTTTGCACCCCGCAGTTAATGTTACCATCATGGAAGTATATATAGTATATATTTTTATAAAGTAGACATCAAAGGTTATAGAAGATGGGGTGTTTTGACTTCTTTTCCCCAACCATTTTGCCCCCCCAAAAAACAGAGAAAGTGTAGTGGTAATTTTTTAATTCTGGTTTTTATGCACACGTCATCTGGTTTTGGCCAGCTGGTTATGCGTTACTGCCAGAAAACTTGTTAGACCAAATGTGCAGGTAGCAAATGTACATTTAGCAGCAATCTTTAAACTGACTCCTGCAAATAGAATCTAACTGGAGATTTGGGGGAAGGAAACTGACAAACAAAAAATGGCTGCTTTCCAAAGAAACAAAAAATAAAATAAAAATTCAGGAACACTTCTTACAACTGTTCTGTGTGGTACAGCTTGAAACATGTTCCGACACACAGTCCTGGTTTCGAAGGGCAATCAGGACAGTGAAAAGGGGTGTATGTCGTTTTCCCGTTTTTAGAAACAGACCCGGCAACGTTTCTGGGGTGGGGGTTCTAGCAGTTGGCGGTAACTTAAAAATAAAATGTCTGGACTCAGCTTGCACCGTTGTTGGAACTTGTCCATCTCCATAAATTGTTAAAGGAATTATTTTCAACTGAAATTGGAGAAAGGTGGTTTTCCCTGGATTATTTTTTTTAAAAAGCAAAAATGAGTTGTGGATTGCTATTTGCATCAGATAGATAGCCACCTTTTTATACCATGCTTTGGTTTTTCGTAAAATAAGATATGGCTGCATCAGCTGATCAGCCAAATAAACACCCCCCATGTACTTATTATACGCCCTGATGCAAACCGGTTTGGACTCTACTCTGCCCCGGACAGAGACGTCTGACATGCGTTCGTCATGGATGGTGGTTAGCATGTTGAAATCCTTCCTGTCCCTAAATTTTAGTGCAAGCACTTCAGCTTTGCGAAGTGCTTTACATTCGCCTTTTTTAAATTTTGCCTCTATGAGAGATCGTGGAAAGTCTTTGGAATTTTTTCTGGCAGTGCTGCAGGCCAGTGTCTGTAAACCATAAAGCGTTTTAAACAGATGGACACTACTATCAAAATGATCCACATAAAAGTGGTAACCTTTATTAAACAAGGAGTTTAGTAGGTCCCATACAAGTTTCCCACGTGTCCCCAGGGAGTCAGGACAGCCAGGAGGGTCCAGTTGACCATCTTTCCCCTCATATACACGAAAGGCAAATGTGTATCTACTTTCGCTCTCACACAGTTTGTACAGTTTTATGCCATACCTAGAGTGCTTTGAGGGGATGTATTGTCTGAACCCTAATCTCCCTTTGTATTTCATTAGCGATTCACCTATGGATAAATTTTGTTTGGGGGTATAAACATCCGAAAATTTGCCCTGAAAATGGTCTAGCAGTGGGCGTATTTTATGAAGCCTATCGTATTGGGGGTGATCTCTAGGGTGACAGAGGGTATCGTCACTGAAATGTACAAATCTCAACAGTAACTCGTATCTGGCTCTAGGCATGGTTTGGGAGAATACTGGACTAGACATTATTGGGTTGGTGCTCCAGTATGAGCGAATCGATGGCTTCTTAATAATCCCCATGAGCATTGTAAGAGCCCACAATTTTTTAAGCTCTGGGACATCTGTGGGATGCCAGTCATGCTCCCTGACTGTATAGCTACCTGGATTGTTATCAATAAATTGGGTAGCATACAAGTTAGTCTGGGAAGCAATCTCCTCCCAGATGGTATCCCCTAAAAATAGTTCTATATACGGCATTGGGGAGAAGCCCTCTACATTAACATTAATGCCTGCGTTGGCACGAAAAGGGGGGACGTTGGGCTTGGCTAACTGTGGAGGTACCCAGTCCTCCTCCACATTCGGCGTAGCAGAGGAAGCACAGCTTCTTTCTTCAGCCGGCTCACACACAGATGACATGTCGTCTTGACTAGACGTGTCAGAAAAACTGACCTGGGTCAAAATCTGACGCAGTGTCAGTGGCATCAGAGTCTGACGCCAAGAAGGCATATGCCTCCTGCAAGTTATACATACGCTGCATGTTTTACACATGACTAAAACAAATTACAAACACACAAAAAAAAAATTATACTTTTTTTTTTTTACTAAAACAGACTAAACAGCAATCCCTAAACTAATTCCTGTCACAAAAATCTAATGGAGATTTGGGGGAAGGAAACTGACTGACCAAGACAGACCAAGACACAGATTTTTAAAACAAATTGAACCCCTTAAGGGCACAAAAAAAAAAAAATACAGACAGTACAAATGCACTGCTCTAACAGATCCGGCAGGGAAGGGGTTAAAAGGTGATTTTTAAAAATAAAAATAAAATACTGATACTTTCTGATGGTCACTGAACACTGCTGCAACAAACTATCACGATATCTGTCTCTCTCGCCTCACAAAACGCTACAGAGGAGAGAGGGGCAGAGATCACTGTAAAAGTGAGTGTAACACCCACTTTGATAGCAATTGGCTGTTACTATCTGCTTGGGATGTCTGGCAGATAGTTACAGTGCTATACCGGCGGGAGCGATCTTCCCACAGCCCATTTTTCACTATGACGTTTCAGGACCGTCAGCGGTCCAAACGCACGTTTTACTGCTGACGGTCCTGAACCGTCAGCAGTCCTGAAGGGGTTAAAGACACGGAGGCGAGTATTATGCATATCTCTCTTTATTACTCTCAGCAGCAAAGATAGAGATGAATAAATAACTGAAATGAACAAAAAAAAACAAAAAACTGTACAGTACACAAGCAACCAATCACCTAACACAGGAAGTGACTATAACAGGCTTGTGACACCCACAATCTCCCTCTTTCTTTGCTGCTCTCAGACCAGTTAAGTACTAATTTATTGTGTAAATTTGGGGCTTGCTCTTCATATCTGAGAGTCAAATAGAACCGTCAAATACTGCGGTTTACAGCACAGTTGTAAAAATTCTAATTGTTTTGGTGCTGTACTGCTAAATAGTAAATTGGGGCGTGCTCCTCATATCTGGGAGTCAAATAGTGCGGTTACAGCACAATTGTAAACATTCTTATTTTCTGGGTGCTAATCTGCTAACTAGTAAATTTGGGACCTGTACTTCATATCTGAGAGTCAAATAAAAGCGGCAAATAGTGAGGTTACAGCGCAATTGTAAACATTTTTATTTTCTGGGTGCTAATCTGCTAACTAGTAAATTTGGGGCATGCTCTTCATATCTGAGAGTCAAATAGAACCATCAAATAGTGCTGTGACATAGCAGTTTTAAACATTCAAATTTTTACATTAGTACATTTGCGGCCTGCGGTGCACTTCATATCTGAGAGTCAAACAGAACTGTCAAATACTGTGGTTACAGCGCAGTTTGACCAATTCAAATTTTTTTGGGTGCTAAATAGTACATTTGCAGCCTGCACTTCATATCTGACAGTCAAATAGAACCATCAAATACCAATATAACAATATTGTAATTCAGGGGCAATACCCTCACAAGTCAAACTGAGAGGTCAGTTTATAGGGAAAACTGTTGCCTGGATACAATTCTAAAACAATTCCCATATGTCCTTTGCAGAGTTTACATGCTGGAAAAACACAGTTGCCAACTGTTGTGGCTTTCTGCAGTGTGCAGACCGGCAAGGAGGGCAGGGTTGAGGAATGGATGGAAGACGATGTGGAGGATGATGAGATCCTAGACCCCACATGGAATCAAGGTCATGCGAGTGACGTGTGCAGTTTGGAGGAAGAGGCGCTGGTCGCACAGAGGCACCAGCAGAGCATAAAAGAGGGAGCATGGTGCAAAAGAGGAGCGGCCGTCCCCTAGCGCTCGTCGGCATGTATTATCTTTAGAATTCCCACAGTTATCCAAGTAACAGATGGAGCGATAAAATGAACCATAACAGATTTAACGAGCCATTCGCAGTTTCGCAGTCCGGTGACCGGGAACCAGACACCGTCTGGGCGGCGGTCGGACGACTGGGACCCAGTATGCCTGATGTTGAAGCTAGGAGTCACAGTGTGGAATGGATTAGCAGGGTTTGGTGCAGGGTAACCGCACGCCCCCTGGTGTTGAGCACCAGCGTTTGTGCGGCCACATACCAGGACCCTGATGCAGCTTCAGTAAAAAGAGCACTAGATACCAGAAGCAATCACCAGACTGATCCGCAACTTGGAACAGGATGTGACATTCACTGAAGCGGCTGTGCGTGCTTTCGGCGTTCTCACCCTGCTGCTGTTCGTCTGCCTGCGCTGCAGCGTAACTTCTGCCTTCCCGCTCCCCGCCTCATGACACTGTGCAGTCGATAGTGGAGTTTCAGCTGCAGCACGCACGGGTCAGTCGCTCTGCACCAGACTTGCCCTCCAATTGATCAGAGTTAAAGGAATTCAAGTGGACTCATTACAATTACAGGGCCTCTAAATAGTCCTGTATTGTTATTTGTCGTCACTACCTTCCCACGTCGGGAGGGAGTCATTTGCGTGCCTGCTGCCTTCCTTACATTTAGTAGCCGTTTCTCAGGCTCCCTCTCCGCAATCGAACCCCGTTACTCGTGGTTCCCGGCGCCCTCTGCTCCCTTCTTCCTTAATCTGGGTTCATGGAGGTCGCCCTCTGTCTTTTGGCAAGGACATAGGCTTGCATTTCCAAAAAGGTCCTGCTGACAATCTCCTAAGGGTGGCTCTCGGTAATATGCCAGGTGCCGTTACACCTCATTGCGCACTTCCTCCTCATCTCCGGCCCCTGGCTGGGGTTCGTTGCCTCACTGCATGCCTGGTCGTCCTCCATGAACGCAGCAGTCAATTCGGCCTTGTTACGCCCACCAGGCGTTATTTCTCTGGCTCCACACAAGTCCTGCAGTGTAGGTTGCTTTAGAGCACTGTAGTCCATGGGTCTGGCAGGGACATGGGATCCCGCCGCTTGCCACCAATTGAAGCGGGACCGAAGGTCAGACCCATTTCCCCAGTAACCGGATGGGACACAGTTCCAGGATACAACGTTTGACAATCTTTATTTGGATACACAGCTTTGCCTCCTGTTGCCTCCTCCTCCTACTCAGCTTCTTCCTCTACCTCCTCCTCCTCATCTGGTCAGCGTAACACCTTCACCACCAACTTCAGCACAGCCAGGGGGAAACGACAGCAGACTGTTTTAAAACTCATATGTTTGGGGGAAAAACCCCACACCACGCAAGAGCTGTGGACGGGCATGGAACAACAGACCGATGAGTGGTTGTTGCCACTGAGCCTCAAGCCCGGCCTGGTGGTGTGCGATAATGGGCTAAATCTCGTAGCAGCTCTGGGCCTAGCCGGTTTGACGCACATCCCTTGCCTGGAGCATGTGCTGAATTTGGTGGTGCAGAAATTCCTGAAAACTACCCAGATATATCAGAGCTGCTGCAGAAAGTGCGGGCTGTCTGTGTGCGCTTTTGGCATTCTCACCCTGCTGCTGCCCTCTCTCAAATGGATAATTCTGGTGATCCTCCTGACAGCCATGCTCTAGATTTTGCTTTATGTTCTTCCAAAGCTAAAATCAAAGATTCCATCTAGTGCTATTTTATGGCTCAGCTGTATTTTTTATTATGTTATTTTACGTGATTTCCCTATCCACATTTGTTTGCAATGTATGTATGCCCCCCCGGAGGCATACTCCACACACAAGAAATCTTCAATCTGAAGTGATTTTTGTGTGGAGGTTTTGTGTTATGTGACTTAGGCTGCTTGTTGTTCAAATGACAATCTTTAACTGGTGGTGGATAGACTGGCATTTGAGATATTTGTGCTGTGGCCCCATCTGTGGGATGGGAGAAAAGGCATGAAAAAAACAACAACACTATCTTAGCATAAAGTAAGAATAGTAAAGTGAAATAGCAGTACTAAATCTAAAATCTAATTTGTCTGCCTATCCTGTTATAATTAAGGGAGGGGAAAGAAAGCCTTTAGAGAGAGAGAAAAGTGTCTCATTATCCCAGAGGCTCCATGGAGTGAGCATGAGAACAACAAGCTGACAAACTCTTATCCGTAATAACAGTGAAATTTGCTTGCACATATCTTCATGTGATTTACACAAGATGGGCCCCTGCTACTCTACACCCTTCCTTCCAGTGTCCTGAAGACATTAAGCAGCTGTGATTTAATTTTCTTTTATCACCTTTAATTGGAAGAGAGTCATTCTAGAGTCTGAGACCATGACCTGGGGGAGGAAGGATCATAGGATCATGATTCAGAAAGTATATCAACTAATGATCACCTTATTTTCTTAGTACTGATAAACTTAAAAAGCATTTATGTCAAAAAGATATTTAAAAAACAAAATGAGGTCAATAGTCATTTGTCAACCAGGGAGAGAGGGTGATCTCTTTACCTATTTCTATACTTTAAAGTGCCCAGTGATCATACTACTTGATGGGACCTGGTGATGTGTGCCAAATAGGTGTAGATATTCATCCAGTAGTGAGCCAGTGTATATACCACCAGTTCCAGGGGAATACTAATTAAAAGATATTCATCTCCTCACAATCGACTACACCATGTATTGAGGGTCACTACTATGCTCCCTTTATGTACTTGCTAGTACCCAATATATAGCCATAATTTTCTTTAGCGTATATTGGCCATTCATAATAAAGCAAGACATATGCTGATAGGTTTTACTTTTTTTGGATTATATAACAGGAAAAGGTTAGCCTTACAAGGCTCGATATTTTCTTTACACTACTAGATTTGCTTCAGATATGTTCTCTCTGTAATGGCACAAGATGAGCTAAAACACGTTTGCGACCCGTTTTTTGCTCTCCATAAATTTAAAGGGTAATCCAGACGTGGATTAGAGAGATATCAGCTATGCCGCACTGATGATGCCTAACATGGCTGAAACGATCGTCTGGGGTTGCCGTGTCTCTTGTGCAGAGGGAACTTGCTGGCATTTCGGATCTGGACTGCCCGTATGGGTGGGACCAGTCTGATATGCTTCAGATATGTTCTCTCTGTAATGGCACAAGATGAGCTAAAACCAGCTTTAGTTCTGGGCGGGGACCCACCGAAGGACAGGCTATTTCAGTTGCTGTCCGTTCTCAGAATACTCTTGCGACCAGTTTTTTGCACTACTAGAGAGTCATTTTTGTTCTTGTGGTGTTACAGCTCAATGAAGTGGTCTGGGTGCCAGATCCCCCAGGTTTTAACCCTTCAGATGTAAGCATAGCAGTTTCAGAGAAACTATGTTTACGCTGAGGGTTAATCCTGTCTCTAGTGGCTTCCTGATAGCCGCTAGAGGTGCTTCTGCAACGCTGGATGCGAAAATCGCATTCAGCGTGCAGAACTTCCATAGGAAACCATTGAGAAATGCTTTCTTATGGACTGTTTGAATGCGCGCTAGGCTCTTGTCGCACATGCGCATTCCACTCCACTCGGGAGCTGACGGCGGAGCAGGAGAGGTCACCAATGCCAAGGGAGCCCGGTGCTGGATAAGGTAAGGGGTTTTAATCCTTTTAGCCTAGCGGGAGGGGGACCTAAGGGTTTATATAGTGTCAGGAAGACACAAGTTTGTTTTCCTGACACTATAGTGATCCTTTAAATACCTAAAATGTGGGCAAGCCAGAGACTTACAAAAAAAGGTTTATGGGCAAACATCCTATATGCCTTACCTGACTGAAAGGATTCTTTGTAGGTCTAGCTAATCTGCAAAAAAAAGATGTTCATTAACCAAAAAGTCAAAATTGATTTGTTAATGTACACTGGAAATAGCAGGTGTGTACTCTCCACTGTGCATTATTACAATAATGCAGTTTTCTTACATTTACTATTTTTCTTAATTAAAAGTTATGAAGTTTTTTTTTTTTACCAATTACCAATTATTTATACCCTATTTTATCTAAAACTTTTAAAACAAAAGCACATAGGGTAAACTAAAACAATTTTAAAAAGGCCAATTTCAATAAGTTAAGGGGAGCTTTACAATATATCGATTGGCATAAAGTCTTTAGCGAAAACACTGAGGATAAATGGAATATCTTCCATCAAATATTAGAAAGGTACATTTCTCAGTATGTACCATTGGGTAATAAATATAAAAGAAACAAATTGGAACCAATGTGGCTTAGTGGGAAAGTGAATCAAGAAATTAAAAATAAGAAAAGGGCATTCAAAGCCTTTAAATCTGACAAATCAGAGGCATCCTAAAAGATATAAGGAGGCCAATAATATGTGCAAAAATTGCTAAACTTCATAATGAAAAAATGATAGTGAAAGAAAGCAAAACCAAACCCAAAGCGTTTATGTACATAATCAAAAAAATTAAAGTGTAGCTACACTAAAAACCGGGATGGAGGTGTTCATTAATGAAGACCAGGAAAAAGCAGAAATATTAAATAACTTACTCCTCTGTATATATTAAGGAAGAACCTATAGCAATAGATATGCAAGTGATTTCTCCAAAAATATGCAGAACAATTGTAATTGGCTAACTCAAGGCAAGGTGCTGCAGCAACTAAAGAAAGTTCATATAAACAAAGCTCCAGGGCTTGACAGTATTCATCCACGAATACTTAAGGAACTAAGTGTGTGTTGGACTGAAAAATCACAACAGGGTCTGGAAACCCTTACGCTGCCATGGACTTATGCACTAACACGTTTCTGCTTTCCTTGTCTCTGTGTAATTCAGCTGCTGTGAATACTCAAAGAACAGCAACTCAGATAAATAATACATAAGCATTCAAAGGTTTAATGTGTCATACATAGTATATATAAAACAGTTTGTCTAGGGGTGCAACGGCAATATCAACCAATCATAGGAGTCTCAGAACATAATGCTGTTAGTTTCTTGTTAATGGATACAAGAAACAGTATGAGGTTAAGAACCTAGCTACAATTTGAAGATGCTAGAGAAAGAATGCTATTTTTTTCCAAGTGCAGAATGTTTATAACAAATAGGGAAATCTGGTGTCAGGCTCAAGGACTGTGGGGATATTTATGGGATGATAATATTATACAGTTGAGAATTGCCCACTATTTCAATTCTCTTAGATCTTATAGATCATTATCATGTAAGTGAAATGTATTCCATACAAATAAAACCACAATTTGTTATAAAAATAGATATAATTTATTGTGACAAATAATAAAATTATAATATTAGGGAGCATGCATAATAATAATCAGTGAATATTTAGTATAACATATGTATGCAATACAATGGCAATATTAAAACAATCCAAAGGCTAACAGCATCAACTGTCAAGATTTAACAAGATTTATGAGGGTACGTCACAGACACAGAAAGCTTAAATTCCAGCGAAAAGCCATAAAACCTTGGCTAACAGTTAATTACAACTGAGTAACCCTTTCAATGCTGGCTAGATCCTCCTAGGCATATAATATCCTATTCTCATGTAATTTTCAATAAAAATAACATTCAAACCAGCTCATTAATCATTTCCTGGAACCATCCAATAAGATTAATCTACCAGATTTTTACAAAAGCCGAATTTAACTCTACCTAAGATGTACGATCTTATTTTAGAGAAAATCAATACACATGGATAAAAACAGCGGTATGCTAACACGTGGTAAGATACCAGTACTATATAATTATCTGACTCCACCTGCAGAATGGAGAGTTATAACCACATATTCTTTAGTTAACTAAGATTTCTCAATTATTGAAATCTGACCGTGATTTATCCAGTCATGTATCATGCTATTAGTAAATCTTTA